TGTCTCCATACTAGAGATAGATGAATACAGTGGTACCTCGGGTTAAGTACTTAATTCGTTCCAGAGGTCCGTTCTTAACCTGAAACTGTTCTTAACCTGAAGCACCACTTTAGCTAATGGGGCCTTCTGCTACCGGAGCCCGATTTCTGTTCTATCCTGAAGCAAAGTTCTTAACCTGAAGCACTATTTCTTGGTTAGCGGAGTGTGTAACCTGAAGCATATGTAACCTGAAGCGTATGTAACCTGAGGTACCACTGTACATGGATTTCTGCTTTTTTTCATTTCTCATTTTACCAACTGAAACTTCAGTTCACCTAATTTCCACTTCAATTCACATTTAATTAAAGGGGGGGAAAGTTTGCATGGAATTTTGTAAGTGCTTTGGTGTGCATTTCCCCTAAACGGTATACAGTTTTGTCTAATGTATGCATCTTTATTAGCAATTTCCCCTAAAACAATATACAATGGAACCTCAGTTTTCAAACATCTTGGAAGCTGAACGATTTGGAACCTGAACGCCAAAAACCCAGAAGTAATTGCTTCCATTTTCAAATGTGCCTCAGAAGTCAAACTACTTCTCCCACGTGTTTCCCCATTTTTTCAATGGATTTTACCGAACCGACTGTTGATCCTCAATTTTCGAACACCTCGAATTTTCGTTCCACCTCAGTTCTCGAATGTAATCCATTCTGGAAGACCGTTCGACTTCCAAAATGTTCGAAAACTGAGGTGCAAAGGACTGGCTGCAAATGCAATTGAGAAAATTGAAAAACACGCAGTGGAAGCCATTCAACTTCCAAGGCGCATTTGAAAATGGAAGCATTTACTTCCGAGTTTTCGGCGTTCAGGTTCTGAAATGTTCATCAATGGAGACATTCGAAAACCAAAGTACCACTGTAGTTTTGTATGTTAGTTTCACAAGCATATGCATTTTTGGCACACTCTTTTTGGTAGCAGAAAAGAAGAAGAAGAAGAGGAGGAGGAGTTTGGATTTGATATCCTGCTTTATCACTACGCAAAGCAGTCTCAAAGCAGCTAACATTCTCCTTTCCCTTCCTCCCCCACAACAAACAAACACTCTGTGAGGTGAGTGGGGCTGAGAGACTTCAGAGAAGTGTGACTAGCCCAAGGTCACCCAGCAGCTGCATGTGGAGGAGCGGGGACGCGAACCCGGTACCCCAGATTACGAGACTACCGCTCTTAATCCACTACACCACACTGGCATCAATATTTGGAGATGTGTTAAAAGACAGGTGTGTTTGGATTCACTTTTTGTTTCAGGAAGCACGAACAAGGTGAGTTTGAATGAAACAGCAAACTGAAATTCTCCTCCATCCAGGCACCATTGCTCCACCACTGATCTTGCAAAGGCCTGAAGAGGGCTTGTGAGTTTGTACATGCTTGCAAGCCTCCTGGTGACTGGAAAGCCTGATAAAAACCCCGAAAGATAGTTTAATGAGTTTGCGGTGGGGGAAAGCAGGCTGTTTGCTGAGATTCTTTTAACCACTGGATCCAGCAAGTGTTAAAACGTAAGCCAGGCTAGCTTCTCATGCTGAGGTGATCACATGAGTGATGGGCCATTACGGGAAAAACAAAGGAAAGTGGCTCTGTAGGGTGTGCCATTTTAGGGGGTGAAACTTAATTTTTTGCAGATTTCTTCTGTGAGGTGTCAAAAATACGTTTTGGGGTGTGAAGAGTTCAAATCTATTATTTTTGTCATAGGACAACATTTAGCTTGGTAAGTCTATGCTTGATGAAGAACCACATAATCTGCTTTCGGAAAACCGAAAAAGTGTTTTCCAGCTCTTAGGTTGTGCCTAAGATGACTCCATCGATTCTCAACACTCTTGGTGGTGCATTGTCACAGCTTACACCACCAGAGAGATATCTCTATGGTTAGGCCTCTGATACCTGGAGCTTAAAATCATTGAATTGTAGGGTCATCTAGTTGTCTCACAGAAAACAGTTTAAACAGATTACGACCACGGGCATAGGGTTGGCCCCCCAAAGCACACATCTCAGGGTTCAAAGGCCAGGGTAAAGGGGTACTTAACCCTCCCCTCCCTTGTTTTGAGGTTCTGATGAAAAACCCTCCTTTGAAAGTGCAGTTTGCCTTGAGAGGAAATCCCTCTCAATGAGTAGGATTTCCCCTCAGTACAGATAACAGCTTCAAAGAAAAGATTTTCCTCAGAACTGCAGCAGATGCAGATTTTTTTTGGGGGGGGGGAGGACTGCTCGTTGAATGCAAACCCATATTTAACATCACTTCTAATTTGGCCTTGTGTCAGCTGAGATGAAAACATCAGTCATTTAAAAGAACCGGCTTCCCTTTCAACTGATGGGGTTCATCTTTTCCACAACGGTACCAGAAAGCATTTGTTTAACATAAATGTGCCTCGGAGCTAAAACTCAATCTAACCTGAGAATCGTGCTCATGAATCATAACATAATGGTGTGCCAACAGATAAGAAAAAACCAAGTGAATCTATTTCTACACCCATTGGATTTCTAAACCAGGTGTGGCGGGGAAGAATATTTCTAACTATCAATGGCCATGAACAAGATGGACCAGTCAACTATAATTATGTCATGTTCATAAATCAGTGTATTTATCAGTGAAAGGCCAGAAGATACAAGGATGAGGAAGCTCTCCTATCAGCCACTGTACTATCATATGAAGATAAAGCCATTGATGGCTCCTTTCTGCTTCTTTCCTTGTGACCTTGTGAATGCCAACCTTCTAGGAACGGGGCCATCATTCAGAGCAGAGGGGGGGACCTCAAGTCTAGGTGCTAAATGCAGTCCTCCAGACCTCTCTGTCTGGCCCTTGAGACTGTTTCCAGGCCCCACCAGCTTCCTAGCTTCACCCTCTTTCCCAACCCCTCAGCCTGCCTGGCATCACATCCTCCTGGAATGTTTGTGCCCAGCTGGGATGCATCATTGAAATTTGATAATACTTTTGTTTGCCTGGGTGGAGAACAGAAAGGGGCTTGGGAGTTTTAGCACTGCAAGGTTGCAGTTCACAAGGGAAGAAGCTAAGGAGATCTGGACACAAAAGCAAGCTTTAGCAAAAAGGCCAGTTGTTATATGATGTGTGTGAATTAAAGCTAAATGAGGACACAACCAACTGTGAGGCTGCTCTTTACCCAAACAGCAATGTTGCAGATGAGAAACATGTTCAATGTCACCAGGATTTTTAGGTGACTGGATGACCCCTTTGTTATTTTGCAAAACACTATATTTAACTTCGTTCTCATCTGAGGCAAGTGGGATAAGTTGTTTTATCTCAGGCTTTGTCTGATGGATCTTCTGCAGCTTTTTTTCTTTCTTTTATGGGTACTGTCTGCTATTTGGTTGTTTTAAGTGCTGTTGGAGAAGGCTGATCGCCAAAGAATTGATGCTTTTGAATTATGGTGCTGGAGGAGACTCTTGAGAGTCCCATGGACTGCAAGAAGATCAAACCTATCCATTCTTAAGGAAATCAGCCGTGAGTGCTCACTGGAAGGAAAGATCGTGAAGCTGAGGCTCCAATACTTTGGCCACCTCATGAGAAGAGAAGACTCCCTGGAAAAGACCCTGATGTTGGGAAAGTGAGGGCAGAAGGAGAAGGGGACGATAGAGGACGAGATGGTTGGATAGTGTTCTCGAAGCTACCAGCATGAGTCTGACCAAACTGCGGGAGGCAGTGGAAGACAGGAGTGCCTGGCGTGCTCTGGTCCATGGGGTCACAAAGAGTCAGACATGACTAAACGACTAAACAACAACAAGGTGCTGTTGGATTTGCTCTTTTATCTGTTTTTGCTGCTTTATCTGTTCTTACTTTTAGTGCTTGATGCTGCTTTGAGAGCCTCAGTGTGCACCTGCTGTTGTTTCTGGTAGAGCTTCTGTTTGCTTTTGAATAGATCCCATTGTGCACTACTTTGCAAACTCTTTAAAGCGGAAATAGTAACATAATAAAGTATATATCATTCCTCTTTATATATAATTGATATATACACATCCTGTCTACATTCTCTTGCAGCAGACGATGCATAATGTGTGTGGATGTGGGGACCACATCTGTTTGCAAGCAAGTGTGGTGGCAGAAATTAGCTGTAGATCTCCGTTGAGCGTACACTCCAGGCCAAACTAGACAATACATTAAAATGCATGCTTCCATGTGAAATGTCTAGTTTTCTTTTTTTATATAACAAGCATAGTGAAGTGTGGGTGTCCTGCTCTGAGGTGAGGCAAGACCAGAATGGGCAATAGGCAAACTTCAGGGTGAGGGCATGGCAGGGCTCAGCCTGGATGCAAGTCTCATCCTGTGCCTGGTATTGCTTTTGATCACTATTCCAGCTCACTGTTGCTGTTCGTATCAAACACTCAGGCTAATTTTGATAAAATTTTGTATTGAATATATGCTATATGGTAATTTATTGACCGAATAGGTTTCTAAAGCCATTTGCTCATGCAGAATGTAGGCACCCTATATATCACCCTATATAAAAAAGGTAAAGGTAAAGGGATCCCTGATCATTAGGTCCAGTCGTGACCGACTCTGGGGTTGTGGCGCTCATCTCGCTTTATTGGCCAAGGGAGCCAGCGTACAGCTTCCAGGTCATGTGGCCAGCATGACTAAGCCGCTTCTGGCAAACCAGAGCAGTGCATGCAAATGCCGCTTACCTTCCCGCCAGAGCAGTACCTATTTATCTACTTGCACTTTGATGTGCTTTCGAACTCCTAGGTTGGCAGGAGCAGGGACCGAGCAACAGAAGCTCACCCCATTGCGGGGATTCAAACTGCCGACCTTCTGATCAGCAAGTCCTAGGCTCTGTGGTTTAACCCACAGCGCCACCCGTGTCCCTATCACCCTATATAGAGAAATGAGCAAACCAGTGATATTTTAGAGAGCAGGCTAGCAGGTGGGGCCCATTACTTTACATCAGAGGAGCCTACACAACACAAAACACTTTTGCTGTATGTAGGTTTTATTTTATTTGTTTTTTATCTTATATTTTGGAAATGTACATTCATTTTTTTTCTTTAATTTTTTTAGGGGGCCCCAAGAGAGTATTTATGTATAAGCTTGTTTAGCTTATACGTAAATCTGGCACTTCTCATATTTGCTCCATGAAGGAAGCTGGCATCGTTGGTAATCCTGACCCCTTTCCCCCAACTCCACTCTGCAGCTGTTGTTTAAAAGAGGAGCATAAAATGAGCCACAAATGCAATCACACATTCAGCCTACCATTTAGTTTGGGCCTTAAGCATGAAACTTGGGCTGCCTCTGTAGAAAGCTAAGTAAAATGACCCTGGATGAACCCATGAAAATCAATGAATAGAATTAGCAACAGAAAATACAGCAGATTTGCTGGAGAAGATCTATATAATGCATGCAGAGGAGAGTGTGGCCACTTGGTCAGCGGTTTTTATCCAATTCCCAAGCAAGCCTTATGTGTGTTGCAAATATTTTGTTGGGTTGCCAGTGAGAGGCAAAGCGACATTCTTTTGGGATGCAGCACAGTATTGAAATAGAAAGAAAGAGCAGTGTGTCTGTTTATGTTTCCTGTAGAAATTCCCCAAGCCTACTTTCTCCTGAGAGAGAAGGAAACAGCTGTGGAGTGTAAACGCTGTGAATTCCCCCTGCCTCTTTGCTACGCAGCAGAATGCTGTTGCTACTGATTTTTAAAACAAAACGCATTTGTCAATGAAGCGTTTGCAGAACATCCGCAAAACCACAACCCAAGTGGTGATTCAATTTGTCAAAATCCACTTGTTCCTCATTCCAGATGGTGATATTGCTGGTGGTGTTGACTTTCAACAACAAAATAAATTTAAAATATCATGGAGGCACCCTCAGTTGAACTACCAGCACCTCTTAGACTATGTAATTGTCCAAGCTGAAGATCGCTGCAATGTGCTCCTTATCAGAGCTATGACGAGTGCCAACAACTGCTGGACAGGTCACCAATTAATACATTCAACGATGGCTGTCAAGATTATACCTCAATGCAGGCTTCAAGGAAGGAAACCAAGGTGCAAAATGAACACTCAAGCCCTTCAAGATCCTATTAGGCAGGATTGCTTCCAAATGACTCTTAAGACCATCTACTTTCGGAGTTCCCTGATAACATCGAGGAATACTGGACCAAGCTAACGACATCCATTATTGCAGTCTGTGAACAAACTATTGGATACCAGACCAAGAAACACCAGGAATCCATATGCAGTGCCACAAATCCAACGTAACAGTGTAATGTTGGAAAATATTGATCACTTCTCTCACCTGGGCACTTCTTTCCACAAGGGCTGACATTGATGCCGAAATCCAGCATCGCCTGAGCTCTGTGAGTGCAGCTTTCTCCTGATTGAAGTGCAGAGGGTACTCACTGGATGAGGAAACATTGTGGTAGGTCTGCCTGGAAACCAGGAAGCAGCAAGAGTCAGGAGAACTTCATTTATTTATCAACAAAAGAACAACAACTCAACATAGCCGCTAGGACTTGCTACCCAGCTAAGGCTAAGGTTCCATCTAGTTCCCACTGAGCTATGGAGGGAAGCACACCTAGAGCTTTCATTTACAGATCAGGTGTCATGAAAACCCTTAAGCCATCGTGGCCTCTCACTTTGTCACACAGAGTCCTGAATTCCCATCTTTGTTGAGGTACGCTAGCCAGAAATGGCTTCCTCTTGGAGAAGGTAGGGAGAAGAGAGAATTGCCTACTGAGGTCACTGTGCTACCTCTTCCTCCTCCTCCTCCTCCTTTGCCACCACTTCCAGGAGTCAGAGAAGATGTGCTGGAGGAATCTTGCGCCAGGTCCGAGGGAGAGTCTTGCACTGAGTCTTGCACCAGGTCGATGGGAGAGAGCCAGCCGATGGAGTAGCAGCAGTAGCAGTAGCAGGAAGAGAAGAAGCGAGACGAATGTCCCAGCCATGGGAAGCTGCAACTTTCCAGCCTGACCATGCCAAATAAAAACAAGAAGGAGAAAGTAAGCCTGAAAAGAAGATGGCAGCTGGATGAGACCCTGGCTAGGAGCAGGCCCTGGGGTGCTGGACTGGTAGGGAAGGGTGTAGCTGGCAGGGTGCAGGCAGGCCTGCGAGGGCTGGAGTTTGAGGGGTGTGTGGAGGGCAAGGAGGTTATGGGGGGTTGAGGGTGGGTGCTGGAGCTAGCTGGGCTTGTGGGGGGGTTGTCTGTATCATGAAAAAAATCCAATTTAAGGTTTCCATGGTTTCATTTTCTTACCCACCACATTTTAGGGCTTTGCACTTTTTGCATCAGGGTAAATATGGCACAGCTGCATGTTATGAAGGAGGAACACAACATTTTCTGTGACAGCCCCATGTCAGTCACATGGCGCCAGTTATACACAATAATATTCTTTAAAAATATTGGGAAACTTTTACATTAAAAGGCAGTTAGCTTCAATATTAAATAACTGCACTTCGTCTCCACCTGGTGGCTACACTGGGTGGTCCCTTGCTTATTCTTTACTGCATTTTCTGCGAAACTCATACAAAACGTTGATGATGATGAAGAAGAAGGAGAAGAAGAAGAAAATGTGGTGGCTCTTGTAACCAATAGATAAGCAAACCCCAAACCACTGGCTTGAATGAAGCAGCTTACACCAGCAGGACATGGAGGCTGCCATTTTGGCACAGGGTAGCAGTTCTCCCCTGTATAAATACAAAGCCCAAAAGACTAGACAACCACAAGGGCATAAAAGCATGAGAAGATCCCAGATGGATGTGACCCAAGGTTCATCTCACAGTGGCCGCTCCCTGCCTGCAGTTCCCAGAAAATGGTATTCAGAGGCATTACAGTGGTACCTCGGGTTACATACGCTTCAGGTTACAGACTCCGCTAACCCAGAAATAGTGCTTCAGGTTAAGAACTTTGCTTCAGGATGAGAATAGAAATCATGCTCTGGCAGCGCGGCAGCAGCAGGAGGCCCCATTAGCTAAAGTGGTGCTTCAGGTTAAGAACAGTTTCAGGTTAAGTACGGACCTCCGGAATGAATTAAGTACTTAAGCAGAGGTACCACTGTACTGACTTCAACATGTTGAAAATAACCATCCTAACTAGGAGCCATTGGTCATCATATCCTCCATGAATTCATCTAATCCACTTTTAAAGCCATCCAAGTTGGTGGCCGTCATAACCTCCATAGTTTAGCTATGCACTGTGTGAAGAAGCACTTTTTTTTGTCTCTTCCGAATCTTCCAGTGCGAAAGTGGAGAAAGCCTTTGGAAAAGAAACCAAAAGAAATTCTGTCTCAATGAAAGAATATGCCCAGTGACATATTCTAACCATCCTTCTTTGACAGTCTCTTTTCTTCTTCTCTACTTTGTCATCTGTGAGTTTGTTCATTTGGGGCTGGATTGGAAAGAACTATGTGGCATTTGATAGGCTGTTAGTCACACCAGGGCTTTATTTTGTGAGAGGTGTTTTCAGAGTTCAGCGTCTTAAAGTGTGCAGTAAAGAGCAAGACCTGCCCTGCTGAGTGACCACTATCAATCCGCCTTCCTGTTTAAGATTAGAAGAAGTACTTCTGTGTGGGAATTTCCAGGGAGCCTTCATCTCTGGTACAGCAATTTGAAGAACCTCTTCCTATTATGGAATGGAGCAGGATCCCAACCTTAAGGTCTCAGACTAGTGGGGTTTTTTTGCAGGTGTATTTCCCAACGTGTCATTTACGCAATAATGTGATGTTAGTGCAATGTTGTTGCATTATTGCCATCTGCAGGGGCACTCTGGCACTATAGCTCAACAAAAGTGGGACAACAAAACCTGGCATAATCGTGGCATAAAAAGTTGCAGGATTTCAGCAGGAAATTATGAGGTGTTCACTGGCTGAAGGCTGTATGTCCACACACACACACCAACTTTTATGGGCTTGAACAGTATTGAAAGTAGCATTGTACATGACCACCTTGATACTGTCATGTGGATAAATCATTGTGGATGCGCAATAGAAAGGATGTCTGGAGGGGGCCTTAGACCTTCTTTTCTATTTTCTTTCTGTTCCTTCCTGGTATTATACCAGCCACAAACAGCCTGTTTTGTTAGCTTGCCAGTAAAGTGTGTAGGAGTTTTATTTATGTATAACATGTGTTCCTCTCCAAAACCTGTTAGCTCTCCTTTTAGAAACGAAGCCTTGATCATACGTGTAATCAACACTCCTGTATTGAAAGTGACAATTAAGCTTTTCCTTACAAGACCAATAAAGTTCCAGAAATCAAGAGAAGCAGTCTCATCTATAGCTGGGGTGGAGGATCTGTGGCCTTGCAGATGGCGTTAGACTCCGACTTCCATCAGTGCCAACCAGGACAGCCAACGGTCAGGGATGGTGGCAGCTGTAGTTGTCATTTCCAGTGAGGCATTCATATGTTTTTCCCCCAGTGAGGATAAATAGCCACTTTGGATTTAGGACAGGAAACCCTTTTATAGGCTGGGGGTGGACTGCAGTGAAGCCTGCTCCACTATGGTCCACTCCCAAACCCCACCCACGCAGTGAGGCAAGATTGGCCAGAATTCAAATATTGGGTGGCCAGAAAGCCCACCACAGCTGGCCTGGGGATTTCCCCAAATGCTGGCCACTTAGCCCAGTGTTGCTCCCTGGGGGATGGAGCTTGCAGCTGCAGGGCCACAACAGCCGCCCACCCTGAGACTGGGTAAGCAGCCTATTATCACCCTTTCCCCTCCATGCCCCCATATTTGTGAAAATAGAAACATCAGGATAACTGTTCACAGATCTCCAAGGCCTGTTTATGCATTTTGTATACATTCTACTGTATCGTTCATGAACATTCTGGAAGGGCAGAGGCCGGTTGCCACCGAATGAAGAATCCTAATCTAGTAGGTACAGATATTCCAAAGGACCAGAAAAGACTTTTTATGTATGCAACAACAGCTGTGCGGATGTTACTAGCCCAGAGATGGAAAGAAGATAGTCCTGACCCAAGAGGAATGGCAAATCAAGCTGATGGACTATGCTGAAATTGCAACACTGACCGGAAAGCTCAGGAACCAAGAAGACAAAAACTTTAAGAAAGAATGGGAACAATTTATAATTTATTTAGGAGACCACTGTAAGCAGATGGAAACATTAGCAGGATTCTAATAACACTTGTAATGTAACAAGTAATATGGACAATATAGATTTAAAATACAGTGGTACCTTGGTTTAAGAACAGCTTAGTTTATGAACAACTTGGATCAAGAACGCTGCAAACCCGGAAGTAGGTATTTCGGTTTGTGAACTTAGCCTTGGAATAAGAACAGGTCCCGTTTCCTCTTGAGTGTGTTCCATTTGTAAATTGAGTCCCCCACTGCTATGGGAAAGCACACCTTGGTTTAAGAACGGACTTCCGGAACGGATTAAGTTCGTAAACCAAGGTACCACTATATGGATTATGAAATAATATGCAGTTGAAAACGTTGACAGTAAGACCCAAGGAGGGGATGGAGGGACGTCTAGAGATTCAGAGAAATCTCTAAATGTGGGTATTTATTTGGTATTGTTATAACTCTACACTTGTAAAATCAAATAAAAATTATTTCCGAAAAAGGAAAAAAGAATCCTAATCTAGCCCGTTGACCAAAGGCCAATAATAGATGACAGAGAAACCACCTTGCATTGTTGAGAGAAGCCATACTCCACTTTGGCTGCTGATCTTAACAGCTAAGGAAAGGTTCTTTTATTATGTATTACAATCACTCTGTGTTCCACTGTCATCTGTCCCCTGTGATAACAGCCGGTGGAGCGGGGAGCCATAGTGCCTGCTGGCGTGTTGTACATTACATTGCAAAATACAGTTGCTTACTGAGTGGTAGGAATCAGGAAACATTTGCCTCTCTGGAGACGTAGCGCTAAATTTGGCTCGCAGTGTTTTGCCTATAGCTGTTCTCGGGGGCATGCTACAGCTATAAACATCCTTTGTCAGCGCGGTCCAGTGTTTATCTTAATATGTCACCGTCTTGAGCTGAAACACAAAGCTGAACAATGTCTCACGTGACCTTGGGGAAATCGCAAGAAAAGGAATCCCAAACTTAACCTATTTGTCTAAGCAGCATCCCAGGAGAGGCGGGAAATGGTCTATTGTAAAGACACAATGCGAAGAAAAGCATCCCAGAGCTGGCTAATTCTAGACTGCAATGTAGACCATGCTGGGAAAGAGAAACAAGGGCAGGTAAAACCTTGGAAATTCCTTGGTTACTATACTCTACTTAAAAGATCCTGTACCTATTTCCTTGCTAGATGCACCCACCAGCTGGTGAGTACCAAATCTGTATCTCACAGTGGAACACATTCTCCAAGTAAGGATGAATGGATCTGTCAGTTTTGATTATCATTGAGGATCAGTATATACATGGCTAGTGTATCAGGATAATTAAATGGAACCCACACAAATGGAAGCAGTATACCTGTGAATGTCAACCATTTTTATTGTGATTATTGCTATGCTTTAAGTGTGTGTGTGTGTGTGTGTGTGTGTGTGTGTGTTCTATCCATGTTTAATTGTATTTTAATGGTTGATTCTTCTATGTTTTTAGCAGTTTATCTATAAGTGGCCTTGAGTCTCATCAGAGGAAAAGGCGGTGTATAAATAAATATATCATCATCATCATGTGTGGTTGGTGATTTACTTTTGGAACCTCTATTTCAGCAAAATGTTCTGAATGCTGGGGGAAATGGCCAAGGATGAAGTTATGACGAACTAAAACATTCATCAAGGGACGCGGGTGGCGCTGTGGGTAAAACCTCAGTGCCTAGGACTTGCCGATCGTATGGTTGGCGGTTCAAATCCCCACGGCGGGGTGAGCTCCCATTGCTCGGTCCCAGCTCCTGCCAACCTAGCAGTTCGAAAGCACTCTTAAATGCAAGTAGATAAATAGGTACCGCTTCATAGCAGGAAGGTAAACGGCGTTTCCGTGTGCTGCGCTGGTGCAGGCTCGCCAGAGCAGCTTCGTCACGCTGGCCACGTGACCCGGAAGTGTCTCCGGACAGCGCTGGCCCCCGGCCTCTTAAGCGAGATGGGCGCGCAACCCCAGAGTCGGTCACGACTGGCCCTTTACCTTTACCTTTAAAACATTCATCTGGATGAACTTGAACTGAACAATATGGCTCCATCAGATTCAGAGCATGAGACTCTGAATCTCAGGATTGTGGGTTTGAGCCCCACTTGGGGCAAAACAATTCCTGCATTGTAGGGGATTGGATAGAGACCCTGAGACCTGTGGGTATAGGGCAGTAAACAAATTTAAATAAATACAGTACAATCCAATCCAATCCAATACCCTTGTGGTCCCTTCAAACTCTCCAATTCTATGATCCCATGATTTTGTAAAAGCACAAAACTGCACTAGTTTGTTTAAAAATAAACACTCCAAGCTAGTGGTTTTTGGGGCAGACATATTCTGCAACATGTAACTTACACAGTAATCATTGTTGGATTTATACTGTATCATTCTGCTATACCTCGGTTTTTGAGAGTCTCAGAAGCTGAATGTTTCGGTTTTTGAATGCTGAAAGCTGAACGGCTTTCGCTATGTATTTTTCAGTTTTTCCAGTTGAACTTGCAGCAAGTCCTTTGCACCTCAGTTTCTGAACGTTTTGGATATTGAACAGTCTTCCGGAACATATTACATTCGAGAACCAAGGTACCACTGTATTAGTTGTCCTGCAATGCCTCCCCTGGGTTCCTGTGTAGTATGGCTGTCTGGAGGGTCACTCTTGTCACCACACCGGTCCTGAAAGACCTATATTGGCTCCCAGTACGTTTCCAGGCACAATTCAAAGTGTTGGTCCTGACCTTTAAAGCCCTAAACGACCTCAGCCCAGTATCCCTGAAGGCGTGTCTCCACCCCCATCGTTCAGCCCGGACATTGAGGTCCAACTCCAAGGGCCTTCTGGCGGTTCCCTCACTACAAGAAGCGAAGTTACAGGGAACCAGGTACACGGCCTTCTCAGTAGTGGCACCCACCCTGTGGAACACCCTCCCGTCAAGGAAATAAAAAACTATCTGACTTTTAGAAGACATCTGAAGGCAGCCCTGATTAGGGGAGTTTTAATATTTGATGAATTATTGTATTTCAATATTTTGCTCGCAAAACCTAGCCAGATGGGTGAGGTATAAATCATAAATTGTTGTTGTTGTTGTTGTTGTTGTTGTTGTTGTTGTGCTATAGGGCAACAAAAGCAGGCCACTCACACACACACACACACAAAACATTTGTGATATAAGAAGTTTCAAGGGTTCAGCAGGAACTTATGGGACATGCAGAGGCCAGAAGCAACACGTCCCCCATGAAACTTTTGCAGATGCTAGTAGCATCGAAAGCAGGATCACATACATCTGCTCCAGTACCACTGTGAGCACACAACAAAAAAAGAGCATCTGGAGGACCCTGGCATAGACAGGAAAACACATTTGGCCAGGCTTGACAGCAATGCAAGGCCTAGCCCCCTGCCTAAGAAGCAATCAGAGGTTCGCAATGTTAGGAAACATTAGCAGAATGTTAATAGAATAGCAAACTGCGTTGCACATTTTGACTATTTATAGAGCAGTGATCCCTGCTGCTACATTATTATCATTAGATCATTTACTACTGGTAATTTAGAATCTCATTCTCCTCCCCCGCCCCCCCTTCAAAAGCTTGAATTGAAATAATTGAGCAACCGTGCCAAACTAAAGAACTAGGAGAGAGAATAAGGCAAGATTCTATAAAGAACATTATCCCCCAAGGACACCTAGTGGTGGAGAGATGCTGTGTCTAAGCTTAAGACCTACTAGGGTTTTAAACAAGAGTTTCTGGAGCGGTGGTAGCAATAGAACGGTGCTCAGAACTGAGTCAGGTATTGAACCTAGTAGCAGTTCTGTGGACTCATTCAATGTTATGGACACTTTATCAGTGTGGAGGGGAAATGGGCCTTTTTGCAAGCGTGACCGTCGTCACGTGGACCAAAGTTGTCGAACTTTTTTTTGCTGGTTTCCACCTGGACACTGCTACCGACTGCAGTGTTCCGGGTATGTCTGGGAAATTCCAGACACATGGCAACCCTAGGCACAGTATTGGAAAAACTGAAGGCATCACACAATTGATGCATGTACCAGCTTCATCATCCATCTCTCCGCAATTTGCCTAGCACAGGTGTGCTTGGAAAGCAGGTCTGGGCTGCAGTTCTGCTGTAAGTTCAGAGAATGCCTTCGGGGAAATCACTTCTCCGCTTAGCGTCAGCTTTCCCACCTGTGAAATGGGAATAATTTATCTCACCTGCATATCGTGCAAGATCAAAAATAATAAAAGAGTTTTTAGTGATAAGTTTCCATAGTGCTGTGGTGGGCAACCTAGTCCCCCTCCAGATGTTCTGAACTCTTAACTCCCATCATCTACCATGGATGCTTTAGTTGAGATTCCTGCATTGCACGGGGTTGGACTAGATGACCCCTGGGTTCCCCTCCAAATCTACAGTTCTATGATTCTATGATCAGCCCCAGCCAGAGAGTCCAATGGTGAGGGATGGTGGAAGTTGGAGTCCAGCAGGCCATGCATTGTCAGCTGGGGACTCCATTAAGAGAACCTGAAATCTGCAACTCGCTTGCTCCAGAGCAGCCGCCACCTGCAAATAAACAGTCCTTGGGATATGGACTAGCACGTACCTCCTTTGTGTACGACTGTATTCACCTGTGCAAACATTTTACTTACTAACAATGGGCGCAGCTGCGTGCGTGCTTAAGATCCAATTATGCAAACAATCCCTTTAGCGGGGAAATGGCTTTGCGGCAAAAATGTGTTGCTAATGATAGTGTAATCCAATAGTTTTTAATGGAAAGGATCCATATTCAGCCCTGGTTTCAAGGCCCTGAACTCCTCTAACCTCAAACATATTGCGGCACAATTCCAAGCACCATAAACTGTGTACTTTTTGAACTGCCATCATCCCAAATATCAGGGGAATTGTTTTCAGCAATGTGTTGTGGATGCAATACACACATGCACAGTCGCATGTTAGTTGGTCACGCATAAGTTGGTTGTCCTCTATAATGCATGAATAGGGGCTGTCTTTAGCCTTCGACTCCAGTTCTCCTAACTCCCCCTGCCTCAATACCCACATAAAGTCAGCACTTTTTAAAATAATAATAATAAATAATTTTATTATTTATACCCCGCCTATCTGGCTGGCTTTCCCAAGCCACTCTGGGCGGCTTCCAGCAAAATATAAAATTTAAAAAGAAGACACCTGGCTACACGATTTGGGTTGGTCTCCTTTATTTGTTCCCCAGCAACAACAGTTTGAACTTAATTGCGTGGTGAGTTACCCAGGTGGAAATAATGACACATGACACAATTATTAAGGTTAATGGGCTAAAAAAGGCCACAGCTTTATTGGTTACAGGTGATCAGCGGTAGTGGCTTAGGCATTGGTCCTAACCGACTATATCTGACTCCAGCCCATCCGCTTGAAGTCCAGGAAGGGTTAACCACCAGTAGGGGGAGTCCTGCTGATGCACATCAACTAGGAACTCCCCCGGGGTCACCGCTGGGGGGCGTGCCTTAGGCCCTCACCTCCATAGGCTTCGGACAGGACCACGCCCCCTGGAATCCTTTATCGGACTACCCTTCAATATGTGGGGCAGGTGATGGCGCTACCTCCCCTCTTCCATCTACAGAACAATACCAATGCCTAACTGCCAATACCCAGAAAGTTGCGACGATTTGCTACGAGGTAGGCAAAAACCAAGTGGCTCGTGCCAATTTGCCAAGTTGAAAAATTCCAACCAGGCCCCTCAACAGTGACCAACCAAGGTCCATAGCAAGGTCAAAGGACAAAAACCTTATAGGGCAGGAGGGTGGGAAAAATAGGAACAGCTGGCCGATGGCAAAGAGGGAGATCCCTGGCCTTGTCCTGCCTATATAGGGCAGGCCACGCCCTCAAACCAGCCGATTGGCCGGTTAGGGAGTGATGCGGCCGGGAATCCCTTCAATCGAGTGGGGCTGGCCTCCACCCACCGCGCACGTGGAGGGGCCGTGAAGCCCGCAACCCACCTCCTCCTTAAGGCCAAAGTGGCTTTCTAAGACCTAAGCATACCTGTTTTCATTCCTTATGTGTCACACTTGCCCAGCCAAAGTGTGTTCAACACCGTGTTATTCCCCCGCCCCTCCTGACAGTTCATTTGTTGCTGCTGTGTGCTTTCAGCAATGCAAATTGAAAAAATGGCTTCCATTAAAGAACAGGCCACATTCTTGTTCAACAAAGCTATCATTTGGCCAAACGATGAGTTCCAGGTACTGCGTGTAGGGTTTTTTTTTGCAGAGCACAATATTCCTGGCAGAATGATGGCTAAGCTGTTCAAAATGCAGATTATAATTAAAATGGGAACCACTGAGAGAGATTTGGGTTGTTGTTTTCTTATATAAAAAGATTCAGTCACTGCAAGCTTCAGTAATTGGATAGATAGAATTTCAAATTGGAAAGTATTGCAGTCATTACAAAGAAAGGTTTTGATTATACATATTTATTCTGTGAAGGTCACCAAGCCAGGGAAGGGAGGGTGGGCTTTCCCTACTGGATGCTACACATGGTAGATAATAGAAAATTTAAAATATAATTGTGATTGATAGGTGACATTCAAAAAGTCCTTTACCAAACTTCAGAAGCTTGGTTTTCCAAAGGTCAGGGTTTGCTTGTTTTTTACCTTTTCCTAATTGCTCATTTAGCACCAAAGGGATTTCCCTGTTCCCAATGCTGTTTCCATATTGGAACTTTGCCTGTTTCCAGTTGGGAATCTTAATAAGCTACACACAGTGCATAGACAGACCGTGGAACTTGCTCCCACCATAGCCGTCAACTTTTCCCTTTTCTTGCGAGGAAACCTATTCAGAATAAGGGGATTTCCCTTAAAAAAAGGGGAAAGTTGACAGCTATGGCTCCCACAAGAGGAAGTGATGGCCGCCAACTCTGATGTCTTTAAAAGAAGATTAAACAAAACCATGGAGGGTAAGGCTCTCAGTAGCTGCTAACCTTGATGGCTGTGCTCTGCTTCCACAACTGGAAGTGGTGTGCTTCTGAAGACCACTTGTTGGAAATGGCAAGAGGGGAGAGTGCTCTTCTGCTTGTGAATTTCCTGCAGACATCTGGTTGGCCACTGTGAGACCATGGCGGTTGACTAGATGGACCATTGGCCTGATCCAGCTAGCTCTTCTTACATTATTATGTGAGGAAAACTTCACCCTCTTTTCCTAAAGAAGGCACACAGAAGCCTCCCCCTGATAAGCCCCGAGGTGCCTGCAGCAGCTGCCAGTTCTGTCAGCTACTACTACAGACCCTCCAAGTGTCCCTGTTTTCCAGGGGTAGTCCCAGATTTACAGAAACCATCCCAGCATGTCCCACTTTTCCCTAAGACGTCCCTATTTTCATTGGAGAAATGTTGGGGGGTATGGAGTTATGCGATCCCTGAGCTAAGGAGATAACTACAACCTTTAGAAGACATCTGAAGGCAGCTCTGCATAGGGACTTTTTTGTGTTTAATGTTGTTTTGTGTTTCTATATATGTTGGAAGCCACCCAGAGTTGCTGGGGCAACCCAGTCAGATGGGTGGGGTATTATTATTATTATATTATTATTGAATAGGGTGTCCCCATTTTCATCAGATAAATGTTGATGCATATGGGAGTGGGGTATAATTCCCAAAGTGGCTTTCAAGTGATTTACAAATATAAAGTAAATTTTAAAAAACCAAACACATAATTATAATGTACAATAAAACAATTCTGAACATTACAATAGGTAATTCTGCAACTTAGGAACTGCAGAAGAGAACAGCATTTCCTGGACCTAGAACTTCTGAGGGTGCTAGAACTACCAAGAGGACCTCCTCTGTTGTTCTTAACGCCTGAGAGGCTCTGTAGAGATGTAAGAAGAGCTGTATTTAAGGTTTTGGGGTCTGAGTTGTTAGGACTTGACCAACCTGCGCCCATGTCTTTCTCCGTCTGGCTCATATCCACATGAAGACCAATCAAGTTCAGAGATATTTTTCAAATGCTGGACAAAATAGCCCAGAATCACATTTGGTATACAGTCATATGGGAACGCGAAGTATGAGTCAAAAGGTAGAAATAACGAGCAATTAAAATGTCACTCCCTTGATCTTCTTGACCCTAATGATGATTTGTGTGTCAGCTACACGGCCCAGGTGGCTGCTCTGTCAAGTGTGGCATTTTAAAGCTCTTTCTCTCTGGAATACACACTCATTGCCCTTTGCAATGATAGAATCACCAGACAATCGAGGGTGGGTGGGAACAACAAACCAAGAATGCTTCATAAACACCTTTTGTGTGTGTGTGTTATTATTGGTTTTCTGGCTGCAAGGAAGCAAGTCTGACAGATATGTCATAGTTCAAGGGAGCATTTCTTTGGATTTCTCAGGTCTCAATATTAAGCTGCACCCAACAAAGATGATTCCATATGAGCTCAGTGCAACTTGTGTCCCATTGACCTGGCTTATTATAATCATTCACAATAGATGTACCATGGAAAAGAAACTCAGGTCTTGAAGCAATAGAATGGGTTCCCAGAGACCACCATTTTTTGCTGGGTCAAGGGGTAAAGCCTGGTCGACTTTGGTGTGCTGAGGGAGAAGCCTGCAATGATATGGGGGTCAATGGAACCTTAGATTTATCCTGCAGCTCAAAATATATAATTTATTCAACAAAATACCAAACCAGAGGCAGGTAAAATAGGCGACAGGTGGCAACACCTAGTATACACAAGACTTAGAACCTTTTCTGGAAAAAGTAATCCAGACACATTTATCCATGTCCATCCATTTATCCTGGATTTTATTACATCCAGGTTAGACTACTACATTGTACTCTACATGGAGCTGCCCTTGAAACGCCTTTTAGTGAAGAATACACCAACAACTTGGCTGATCCCAAGAGTAGACAACGTCTCACACTGTTATTAAAATTACTTCGCTGGCCATCTACTTTAATAAAAATTTCAAAAAAAATGCCTATAGACTAGGGCACTGAAGAACCACCTGTTCCCACAGTGACCTGCCAAATTGTTGATGTCTTAATCAGAGGTTACTCACTCAAAATGGGTGATGAATAGAAATGGGTTTTTTCACTTCAGTGGGTCTAAAACATAGTTGAATCCCACCCATTATGTTCATTTCATGTTAGTTAATATATTATGGCTTCTCCCAAATAATTCTGGGAACTGCCATTTGTTGGAGCTGCTGGAAAAGAGAAGACTGATGAGGGACATGTCCATATTCAGAAGCATCTACTAGTTTGCAGTGTTACATCATAAAAGCATTCATTGAACCCAGTCTGAGCTCCAGACATCCTTCCTAGGCAAGTCTGTGTGATCACCAGCAAATACACTATGACAGCCATTCAGCTATTTTTCCTATCTGCTCAGATGGCAGCTGTCTGGGGGGAATCAATTCAAATTGCATGCAGATACAGATTCCAGCGCATTTCATCCCCTTCCTTACCACCTGTAGCACCTAATCAATTTATCTCAGCTATTGGTGGAAGGTCAAATGGTTATTCACTATGGCTTCAATTCCACAACACATTGGTGCCTCGGGTTAAGAACTTAATTCGTTCTGGAGGTCCGTTCTTAACCTGAAACTGTACTTAACCTGAAGCACAACTTTAGCTAATGGAGCCTCCCACTGCCGCCGCGCTGCCACCACCCGATTTCTGTTCTCATCCTGAAGCAAAGTTCTTAACCTGAGGTAATATTTCTGGGTTAGCGGAGTCTGTAACCTGAAGCATATGTAACCTGAAGCGTCTGTAACCCGAGGTACCACTGTATGTGATCTAAGGTGTCCTGTCTCAAGATTGCAAAGCAGGTGACCCAATTCCCTTTACTGCTGGAGAAATATTTCTGAACATTCACAATGTTTCCTGGAGAGGGTACCCCTCCTTTTTAAAAAACATTCCCTCTCATTTCTATATTGCCTCTGATGGAACAGGAGGAAGGGTACCTCAGTCAGTAAAATGTCTTGGGCCAGCCCTGCTGTCCACTATGCATGTACTTTCTCTCTCTCCTTCTCTCCCCTAAAAAATGGAAGGCTAGGATTGTTTTGACAGGCTGACTTATTTTATGAGTACATGCCAGAAAGCAAGCAGCTGGGAACATGCTCTTCCTACCAATGAGCCTGGAAGCAATGATCTATTTCTCCTACTATACACAACCGCACAACAGGCTGTGCATCAGAGTCAAAGCCCAGTAGCCCTGTCCTTTAGCAAGGGGCCCGCACTTAATTTGGCTGGACCAACTCAGGTCTGTATGGTATCCAATGGAAAACCCATGGAAAACTCACTCTTTAATGCTAAATCAGAGCAAAGATCAATCCAGAAAAAAACTGAATTGCCGCTTCCTCCGATTGAGCACTAAAGAGTGGCTCTCCTAGGGGAAAGCAGCAGGACAAGGGGAAGTGTGGATAAATGAGAACTTAGGTTCATTCACTTTGACTCAGAAGGTGTATCAGAAACAACAACTGCAATGCGGCAGCTAGACTAATCCAGGGAGCGGCTGCTGGGACCATATAACACCAGTCCTAAAATAATTTGGCTCCCAGTATGTTTCTGAGCACAATTCAAGGTGTCAGTGCTGACCTCTAAATTCCTAAATGGCTTCAGCCCTGTATACCTGAAGGAATATCTCCACCCCCATCATTCAGCCCAGACACTGAGGTCCAGCTCCAAGGGCCTTCTGGCAGTTCCCTCACTGAGAGAAGTGAGATTACAGGGAACCAGGCAGAGGGCCTTCTCAGTAGTGGCACCCGCCCTGTGGAACACCCTCCCAGCATATCTAGATCTCTGCACCTTTCTTGAAATGGAAGGAACATGCACCTAAAGCAAGAATTTCAGCACAAGTCCTTGTTTAGTGTCATTCACCTTAAGACAGGGGTTGTGACTCTGTGGCCCTGCAGTTGTTGCTTGAATCCAACTCCCGTCAGTTCAGTCGGTGGTTGGGAATGCTGGGACTTTTAGCTCAACATTGGGAGGGACATCGGTGCAAAGGATACCCCTTAAAGTTTAGCTGCTTTAATTACATAGTCGTGAAAAAGAAACAACTCCATCCCCAGTTACACCTGTGGCTTATATTGAAGGTCAAGCACATGTTTTGCCGTTCTCCATTTCCACCTTTCCTTTCCTTCCTTCAATTGAAAACAATGGGAAATTCCATCTCTACCCTAAGATGACCTATTTTTTGCTTTGTTTTCTGTTGCTGTAATGCCGGGCTTCATGTTCCTTACCATTCGGCAAAGGAACAATGAGAAAAGCAAGTGTTTTTTTAAAAAATGCTTTGTTTCTTTAATGGTCCTTTAATGGTTAGCCTTTTGACGAGCTCATTTCAAGGCCAAATGCATCCTGGGAACTCACACTTAGCTCCACCCCACCCCGCCATGTAGGAATCGCTTGCCAACGACCGCAGTACCTGGGAACAGACAGTGACCAAAAGAGGAATGACCACTGGGAGGAGCGCAGAGAGAAGATACGCCGTGGTGCATCTGCCACAGCACAACCGGACGCCTTCATCTGCTCCAGCTGCAACAAAACATGTCTCTCCTGTATCGGTCTCTACAGCCGCAGTAGGTGCTGCAATCTTCCAACCGCTTGACTTCACCCCCAAATGCACATTGTCTCTCCTGAGACAGACGGATGCCAACATTATGGACACAACCAATCAAAGTGAAGCACATGAAGGCTGCAATCCCAGGCACACTTACATGGGGATGCACCCCATGGAACTCAATGGGACTTGTTACTTCTGAATTAGACTTGCTCCACAACCCATTGGTTTTAACGGGAAAGACTTGTTGGATATAATATAACTCTTCTACTGGAACCCATGGAAATTCAGAGTGCTTGTATTTGGGTTGGATCACATCCTACATTAATTGCTAATATCAAATATTATTATTATATTTATTTATTTCCCACTTTTCCCCCCGATAGCGACTCATGATAGAAGCACAGTGAGAAATATCTCTGCCTCTCAGTTGCTCTTCATTAGCAATCATTATTTAAAGGCAGCAAAAACACTTGCTGCTTCTTTCCTTTACATCCCGAGACTATCAACAATGTCTCACGTGAACAAATGGTCATAGCTGGAAATAAAATGCCTCTTTCGGCCAGTGAAGCTGAACAAGTATAATTAAATCCCGAGGACCTTCCGCCAGAAAGCCATGGAATTTATTTCCTACCCTCAAGGTCAGTCTAATGAAATTCATTGGCTTTTCCGGATCAGGCTGCCGGCAGCACTGCTGTGCGTACACAGTCTTGCAGCCAAACCAAACGCCATTCGTGTCCTCTCCCTGTTCTCCCTCGCCTCCCCCAAATTATCTCGAAGTCACAAAACGTGCAGGGAATCATATAACCCTCAGACCTCCGCTGGATCGGGCCGGTGGCCCAATCTGGTACAGTATCCTGCTCTCACAGTGGCCAATCAGGTGCCCATGGAAAGCCCATGAGCAGGACCTGAATGCAACAGCCCTCTCCCCTACTGTAGTTTTCAGCAGCTGGTATTCAGAAGCATACTGCTTCCATCAGTGGAGTTAGGACATACCGTATTTTTCCGTGTTTAAGACGCCACCATGTATGAGACACCCCGTATTTTGGGGGACTCCGATTTAAGAAAATAGGGGGAGAGGGCCCAGAGTTACTGAGCTTTATTGGGGTGGGGGGCGAAAATCACTCACCAGACTGAGAAACACACGAGTCATAAAAGCAACAAAGCATCTGCCTGATTGCCAACAGAAGCTGCCAATTGCCACAGCAGAAGCCAATACAGTGGTACCTCTGGATGCGAACGGGATCCGTTCTGGAGCCCCGTTTGCATCCTGAAGCAAACAGAACATGCATCTGTGCGTGCAAGGGTCGCATTTTGCCGCTTCTGCGCATGCACGTGACATCATTTTGAGCAGCTGCGCATGCGTGAGCGGCGAAACCCAGAAGTAACATGCTCTGTTACTTCCAGGTTGCTGCAGAGCGCAACCCGAAAATGCTTAACCTGAAGCGTATTCATCCTGAGGTATGACTGTATACACAGCAGCCCTTGGCGCATCCAAAAATCAACGACACAATTGCCGCAGCAGCAGTCAATCCAAAGAAGTCCTTGCCGCAGCCACAAATCGCCCACCCAATTGCCGCTGACAACCTCCTGGTCGCGGCTGCAACCAATCGCCCTTCCCCCCTCTGCACTATCCATGTATAAGACGAACCCCGATTTTGAACATTATTTTGGAGGGGGGAAACCATAGTCTTATACATGGAAAAGTACGGTATGCATCAGGGTTAGCAGCCACTGATAGCCTGACCTGCTGTTAATTTGTATAATCCTCTTTGAGAGCCATCTCTAGTGGCCCTCACATCACCTTGTGGCAGTGAGTTCCAGGGTTTCTACACATGAATCACAGAGTCGGGAGGGACCACGAGAGTCATCTAGTCCAACTTCTTTGCAATGCAGGAATCATTTGCCCCACGTGGGGCTTGAGTCCACAACCTTGAGATTAAGAGTCTCATGCTCTACCAACTGAGCCATCCCAGCTCTGTAAAGTAACCCTGGGATGAGATGGGGCTAAATAGAGCAGAGATGTAATGAGCAGAGATGTGCCAAAGCTGCTGGAAGTTATAACCTTGTTCCAAATGATTTGTGGGATTGGGGTTTTTTTTACAGAGGTGGGCATTAGGAGTTCGTTTTGAGGATCAAATTTTGATTGTTTTCAGTTAAATGCATCACGGGGGGATATGGGATACTAATGCCAAAACGGTGATTAATTACAGTCTGTGGAAAATTCCTCATCAGGCAGTGCTGCCAAGAAGTGGTGTGTTCTTGATGACAATGTCAGTCTATATCAACAGAGGACATATTGATTCACTCCATCTATCAAAGCGGTGGCTATATTATCTGATTCATCCATCATTCATGTGAAATTTCCCTATTGTTTGTCGGGATTTCGTTCATGAGGAATAGCCATCAGTAGCAAGCTGTATGAATTATGGACGCAATTCCACAAACTTGTACGATCCCAGTGACCACAGGACAGAAGAAGGGGCTGTCTACCATTTGTGATGCTAAATTGCGCATGCACAGAAGCTCCGAATCGCAACCCGTGAGTGCGCAGATGCGCCGCTGCAGGTTGCGAACGCTGCGGGTTGCGAATGTGCATCCCGCATGGATCACGTTTGCAACCCAAGCGTCCACTGTAAAAGGAAACTCCTAACTACAAACATGTCCAGTGCCACCTAGTGACTAAACTGCATAATGACAATTTCCACAAAGACACACACACCCTTTTTTCCCCCAACCACACTTTTTGATATTATTACCCTTAGTTCCTTTACATTTCTGCTTCAGTAATGGATTCTACATGGGGCTGCCCTTCACAGCAGCCTGGAGACTGCAGCTAGGGCAGAAAGTAGCAGCCAGGTTGCTACGTGGTATTTCCCCCCAATTCTCAAAGATCTGCACTGGCTTTGGGTCTTTTGTCATTAGGCGCAACTCAGGGTGTTAGCAGTGCTATTTTTCTAGAAAGAGAGGTGCTAGAACTCACCCTTGTTCTCTTATAATGGCAATGGCACCCACCTGAGAGGTGCCGGAACTGAGTTCTGGTGAGTTCTATCTGGGGAAAAAGCTCTGGGTGTTAGTACTGACATGCAAACAGCTTATGACCTGGGCACCTGAAAGATCATCTCTCTACACATAATCCTGCCCAGGCTCTGAGGTCAGCTGGAAATGTTCTTCTGGCAGTGCTATTGTTACATGAGATATCGGAGATCTGCAGATCACCAGAGAGCTAAGAAACACACTCCTTTCTGAGTTTTGCCTGGCTCCAAGCTTGGCTGTTTTTCAGCAGCTGCTAAAGATTCTCCTCTTCTTCCAGACGTTCTGAACGGGCCATTATGTGCCCAAAAGGCTGCATACATACAATACTTTCAAAGCACATTCTTTCCCTCTTATAACTCTTGGCACTCTTCCCCACTTTTTGCCTTTGACCTGACCCACGCTTTGCCTCTGGCTGCATCTCCTACATGTATGTGGCTCCAGGAAGGTTTTCCATGAGGGGATCTGGCCCTCAGGCTAAAAAAAAAGTTCGCCACCCCTCTTTTATGTAAAGTTGTCATCCTAATCTTTCAGCTTCTTCCTTCAAAATAGGAATAATAAGAGCTCAGTGAGAATTTTGTTGTGGCTTTACAAGAATTATGCCGTTGCTTTCAGTGAATGTGAAGGCCCTGGAGGCATCCCATCACATCCCTTATTAGCTGGGATAATTGTAAAATGAAGCTAAGACTTTGGGCTGAAATGGATTTTTCACGATTTATCTGTTCTTTCTTGCTGTGGGAGGTAGAGGTCGCAGGGTGGTAGATTTCCATTGAGCTGCATTAAAAACAACACATTTCCATTACCGTAGAAAGAATAATGGAACCTTGCTCAGGATTGGAAAGGGAGCCAATATGAACAGATTTTCTCTTTGTCTCTAGAGCAGCCTTTGGCAAGAGGCATCCAGCGTTGTTCTGTTTCCTGAATCCTCCTTCCAGCTGCCTGCATACATCACAGACATGCACATATCAGCTTAGCGGGCCCGCCCACAGATTTTTATCCACCCAAAATATAAACTTCTCTAGTACTAAATACAGTGGTACCTTGGTTCTCAAACTTAATCCGTTTCGGAAGTCCGTTCCAAAACCAAGGTGCGCTTTCCCATAGAAAGTAATGCAAAATGGATTAATCCATTCCGGACTTTTAAAAACAACCCCTAAAACAGCAATTTAACATGGATTTTACTATCTAACAAGACCATTGATCCATAAAATGAAAGCAATAATCAATGTACTGTACTATACAATAAATAAGACAGTATTGTAGATGATAAAGATAAAAGTTTTAAAAAAAATTCTTACCTGCACTGATGATAATCATTGTTTGGATTGGAGGGAGGGCTTTTATCCATTTCCGCAGTCACACAATCAATCAATCAATCAGTAGCTGAACTGAGTTCCACACGGTCACAAAAACAATTAACCAAAAAAGCCTCAAAAATACAAATAGCAAAAACTAAAGTGCCAAACTTAATTCATTCCAGAAGTCCACTTGACTTCCAAAATGTTCAAAAACCAAGGCGCAGCTTCTGATTGGTGCAAGTGCCCTGCAAACAGTAGCCGACAGCCGAATCAGATGTTTGGCTTCCAAAAAATGTTTGAAAACTGGAACACTTCTGGGTTTTTGGCTTTTGAGAACCAAGGCATTGAGTACCAAGGTGTTTGAGAACCAAGGTACCACTGTACTACTTTTTTCTCAAGCAAGAGTGGCTAGTTCATTCACCCTTGTCTCTTTTGCTTGATGGAGCACGTTTGGCACAGTTTAATGCAACCTTGATTAATTCAAAATGTGCATCCGCAAACTCTGGAACCCAAACACATAACAATATGAATCTCCCAGCAAATCAGCAGAGTTCCACCAAGCTTTGGAAAGACTTACTTACTGCATCTGCTGTGCTTCCAAAGCTAGCAAGAAGATAAATTGAATTTTCAGAAGTAACAGGTTAACACAGGATGGCAAGGGCAGCAGCCCTGGGCAACCTTGTATCCACAATGGAGTGGAATGGGATTTCCAGAACAAGAGGCAAAGCTTGACATCCAAAACGACAAGCATCAAGGGTCAAAAGGAGTGACATCAAAGGTTGCAACTGTAGCATTGCCTGAAGGCATCTTTGAGAAATCACTGGAGAAGCTCCAATGAATTAATGCTTTTTGAAAACAGCAGTCATCAAAACTTAGCCAAGCATCAAGAAACACGAAGCACAGAACTTACTGACACAGGAGCTTACCCAAAGAAACATTAGACAATTCTGATTTTTAAGGTCCTGCCACCTGGTTGATCTCAATAAAAAATTAAGGGAAGGGAAAGAGATTGCATTTATTTATCTCCATTTATGAATCAGTTCCCACAAAATGCTGTGAAGTGATTTCACAGCATGGAACATCAGCATTAAAAGCAATTACACAATTTTGTATAAAAAAGTAACTGTGACAATTAAAAATATATAAACACTTTCACAAATGGAAATACTTCCATAAGTAAAATGAAAAAAAGCTTTGAATCCAACACAGATACAGACTGGGAGAAACATCTCCACTGATATGACTTGTTGAAAAAGGAAGGTCTTGATTAGCCATGTGAACCACAGCCAAGTGAGGAAGTCAACTGTACAGCCAATTCCCTGTAGAAAGCAGACTTGAAGTCACCACCCATCAGCTGATCATGCTCTGAAAACAATTGTCACCTGATGTCATGGTGACATCAGGTGTTTGAGAGGTTAGTGGCTCCACCCACCTGTCAAATTTTTCCAGTGATGGACACGGGAGGTAGGGGTCTGGCTAAATCAGGTTCGCCACCTCTTGGCACGGTCCGGTTCACGGGCGGTTGAAGAACCAGCTGAGGACGTCGGGACCGGGGGCAAGATGGTGGGCAAGATAGAGATATACTGAAATTGCAGAGTTTTGAAAAACTAAAAAACAAAGTGCGAGACTGGCTTCATTATTTTCAGATAATGGAGGCATTTAAATTGGACAAGAAAATTGGCTTCCAGGTGGAAAGATCAAAATTAGAAACTGAACTGTTGGAACCCAAAACTAAGAATTTGTCAAGAATGTATAACTTGCTGCTGAAATGGAACACTCAGGATGAAACGGTAAAATCGGCTATGATTAAATGGGCACAAGACGTTGGACCATAACATTATGTTTGCTGACTGGGAACAGTTGTGGACCACAGGTATGAAATTTACGGCATGTAATGCCTTAAGAGAGAATATTATGAAAATGATATACAGGTGGTACATAACCCCAGTCAAGCTTGCAAAAATCTATCATTTGCCCGATAACAAATGTTGGAAATGTAAAGAAACTGAAGGTACATTTTTCACCTTTGGTGGACGTGCCCAAAGATTAAGGCTTTCTGGGAAATGATATATAATGAATTAAAAAGGTATTTAAATATACCTTCCCCAAGAAACCAGAGGCCTTTCTCCTGGGCATAGTCGGCCAAATGGTGTTAAAAAGGATAGAACTTTCTTTATGTATGCAACAACAGCAGCAAGAATACTCATCGCAAAGTATTGGAAGACACAAGAACTTCCCACGCTGGAGGAATGGCAGATGAAACTGATGGACTATATGGAACTGGCGGAAATGACTGGTAGAATCCGTGACCAGGGAGAAGAGTCGGTGGAGGAAGATTGGAAGAAATTCAAAGATTATCTACAGAAACACTGCAAAATTAAAGAATGTTAGAGAGATGCTGGATTGAAAATAAGTGGTTTCCAGCTGTACAGGATAAAGTTATAGATAGACTAAGATTAAAGATTAGGATTAAAGATGTTTAAGGAAATGGAAATTTGGTACTTAAGAGGTAAAATTTTAATGCTATATTACATTAAGATTAAAGATTAGGATTAAAGAAGTTTAAGGAAATGGAAATTTGGTACTTAAGAGGTAAAATTTTAATGTTATATTATATTAAGATTAAAGATTGGGATTAAAAAAGTG